ATATTGTAGAAAAGTCAAGTCTGCAGGTTATTTTTTCTTATTATTACTGAGAGTCTCTCATCTAGGTGCTTTGGAAAAAGTATAAGACATAGTCCTCTGTGTTTTGTCTTGTTTGAGATAAATTGAGACAGGAAATAGAGAAGTGTGCAAAGTTTGTGTACAATAAAATGATACACTGGTTGTAAGTACCAAGATGCTGAGGAGGGGGTAACATTTAGTAAGATCTTACGGTGTGCCAGGTGCTCTGGTGGCACAGTGGTTAAAGCCTTCAGCTGCTAACCAAAAAGTCAGTGGTTCAAGCCCACCAGCTGCTCCTCAGGAGAAAGATGGCAGTCTGCTTCCTTAAAGATGCACGGCCTCGGAAGCCCAATAGGACAGCTCTACTCTCTCCTGTAGGGTTGCTCTGAGTCAGAATCGACTCAGCAGCAGTGGGTTTGGTTTGTATTTTTTACTGTGTGCCAGTTGCTGTGGTAGGTGCTTTTATACCTGTTGTCTCATCTCGCCCTCAGGACAGCCTTAGGATAGACATTACCGTGTCCTCCGGGAGCAGATGACCGAGCTGCAGGTTTGAGAATTTTACCTGCCGAGGTCTCAGAACTGGTGAATGATAGAGCTGGCATTTGAGCCCGGCATCTGACGTCAGCTTCCGTGCTCCTAACTGCTGTGATGTACCGCTCTAACAGATGCCTTACCTGTACATTGTTGAGGGTAGAATCCCATGGAGGGGGAGTGACTTCAAATGGTTCTTGAAAGATTGGTGAAATTTAGGGAGGAAGAGGAGGCAGTGGAGATAAAACGGAAGAAGAGCTTCAGGGAGTGTCTTGCAGCTTCTGTCTTATTTACAGTTCTGACAAGGCAGGTGCTTCCTTGGGGTATCTTTTTGTCCCTTTTAGGTGTTGGTGCCTCAGCATCTAGCTCAGTGTCTGGAAGGCGGGAGGCAGTCAGTAAATATTTGCCAGATAAATGAATGAGCCCAGTTTTAATGCTCAGAGGTGGTTTAGTGGTTAAGAGCAGAGATGCTGGAGCCAGAGGGCCTGCGTTCAAATCCTGTTTCTGCTCCTTCTTAGTTATGTGGCCACAGATGACTTCCTGTGGAGACTCCTCAGCTGTGAAAGGAAGTAACAGAACCTAACTAGCCGTGGTTGTGAGGAGTAAGTTAGTAGATGGGAAGTACAGGAACAGAATGTGCCTGGCTCCTAGTAGGTCCTATCCGAGCGGCAGCTGTCCAGGAGGATGACGGTATACTTCCTCTCACAGTGTAGTTGAGAAGTGAGCCTTCCAACCTGTGTGAAGTAAAGCTCGATTGGGTGAGACCTCCATAAGGGTGACCTTGTGTGCTGGGAATACAAGTTTAGAATTGTGGGTGCATCTCCCCTATCGTTCACAGGAGGCAGAGTTCACAGGATCCAATGGAAACTCATCTGACCAGTCTGGAGTTGGGAGAGTTCCAGAAGAGGGACTTGAATGAGACCTTGAAAGAAAGAAAAATTCAGAAAGCTATGTAAAGAAGAACTTGTATCATAGTTGTCTCTATTAATGGTTTCTAGAATTAACTGAGTCATCCAGCATTGAAGTTGTAGGTTTTAATTTTACATTGTATTTTGTAAAATGATATATAATGCTGCTGTTAGGTGCCATCAACTTTATTAAATAGCACAGGGACATTTTCTGGAATTTTATAAAACGTTGAAGTCTAGCTTTGTAGTAACTTTTCGCTTCACAGTTTGCTAAGCCAAACTTTGTCAGTGGCAGTTAAATTGTGATTATTGTTACTACAGAATTTTTTATCTGAGTGTGAATTAGATTTATTGATTTTTGTCTTCTCAGATATTTTATCTCCTCTATTTGGGACACTTGTTTCTTCAGCTCAGGTGAGTTTACAGTTAAGTTGCTTTTTCTTTGGGAGAAAGGGGACACATAATTAAACAACTTTATAAGGACACGTGAAAAGTTGGGACATGGGTCGCGGTCCTGTGCAGGGTCCCCGAGATGGCACATAGCCGGAGGCTGGCCCCAAGCACCCCAGTTGTAGGCTCTATGGCCATCGGACAGAACGTGGAGGCCATGACCAGCAGAACTTTCAACTCTAGCTTGGGCCTCAGGACTGGCCAGGAAGTCGGTTTGGGAGTCCCAGCTTGAGAGTCTTCTTTTGGGGGCACTGATAGTCTCGTGGGACCCGGTAGGGGCCTGGGGAGCAGTGTGTGTGGAGGGCTGAAGGTCAAGTCAAGTTTGTGTTAGAAAAATAAATAGGAAATGTCCTGCACCAACCAAAAAGAAATCTGAGTAAAATTGGTGACTATTTCTGCGTGTGATTGCTTCTTTCCAACAGAGCCGTAGCCCCTTCATGTTGATAAATCACATTAATGCTCCAGGCTCTCAAAACGCATTCAGGAAATAAAAGGTCACATCCCTGGAAAAAGCAAATCTTTTTGGGTCCTTAACGTTTGGCTTGGCCTTGGGTGGTCTCCAGCAGGAAGGCGGGTGGATTCTTGTGTGCTCTTAGCTAGACTGAGTTACTGTGTCCAGAAGAAGGATGAGGGGTTACTCAGGCAGGGGGAGGAGGCCCTGTGGGCAAGGTGAGCACGAACTTGGGATCAGGATGTCATTTTCATAACCCGAGTGAATTTCCAGCCCCAGAGGCTTGTGTATGGAGCTGGCTGGTCACTTAGGCTGAGAGGAAATACTCCTTTCTCAGAACCCAGGGATCATTGTCTGGGAATCTGTCTTTTTATGATCACCTGGGGGGAAAAAGGATGGGTATATTAAGTTGCCTTTAAATTATTCAGGGCTCTCGGAAATACTCTGGCAGCACGCAGTTTACAAATATGCGTGCTGCCAGAGCATGCCCAGATGGTACCTTTAGAACCTGTTTCTTAAGCAGTCTGCTCCATTTATTCCAGTTGCTTTAGCCGTGAATTCCCTTCAAGGTATATTTCGGCCAAAACAGACAGGCCTATAAAGCGGACATAACATACGTGAGGGATGTGCTCCTCAGAGCAGTTAATTATATGAGACTGAAAAGGCAACGACTGCCCCAAACAAAGCTCAGAAGGCGGGAAGGGACGGGAAGGAGGGAAAAAGGATCAGGGTAACCCAGGGAGGGGCGGGAAGAGTGTAGTTACATTGAGGGAATTGCAACCAGGTTGTGAAACAAATGTGTGTAAATTGTTGAGCGGAATACTGAGTTGCTCTGTAAATTTTCGCCCAAACCACAATAAGAAATTTTTAAAAAATATATATTTCAGGCTTATTTATGAACTAATGTATGTAGCACTTAATTACTTTAGAGTTTCTTTCAATTTAATAACCAAGCAGTTCTTCTCACAGGCTACTTGGCTCAATTGGTGGTGGTGTAGTTACTTTTCTTCTCTCCCATCTAGTTTAACTACTGCTTTGACGTGCACTGGCTGGTAAGACAGTACCCACCAGAGTTCAGGTGAGTCCCATAGGATGCTGGATAAGATCATAAACCTCCATGGGGTTTTAAAATGCAAGATGTATATTTCTCAGGCAAATGTCGTCAGTCTTTTTTGATGTCTTTTGAATCCTTTGAAATCATACAAGTGTTAAAGTTTATAATGGGAGGCCATCAATAGCTGATCTCTTCTAAGTAGTCTCACACATTCTTTCTATAGATTTTAGCATTTTTCTCTGTGTTCCACCTAAAAATAAAACCCAGAAAAAACCAAACCCACTGCCATCAAGTGAATTCTGACTCATAACGATTCCGAGGCGGTAAATCTTTACAGAAGTAGATTGCCCTGTCTTCCTTCCACAGAGTGGCTGGTGGGTTTGAACCACCAGCCTTCTGCTTAGTAGTCAAATGCCTTAGGCGCTGCGCCACAGAACTCCTTGTCTAAAAGAAGGTAAGGATAAATTCAAGCACAAATACGAGAACTTCGTGTGTAATTCTAGTATGAAGACAGATTATTGCCACTTGCTTTCTAGACCTTAAGTGTGCTGGATCGTGCCAGCATGCCACACGTCACTTGCCAGAACATTGCTGTTCTTTTTTTTTTTTTTTTTAAGAGGCTCTCTTCCATTATTTTTCCTATAATTTGTTGTTGTTGTTGTCACCGGCTGCCATTGAGTCAGCCCCAGCCTGCAGCATCCCCAGGTTAGGTTGCCGATCAGACCACTGTGATCCGTAGGGTTTTTATTGGCTGATTTTCAAAGGGGCTCTCATAGCATTCCATGAAGTTATCTCTGGTTATGGAAGACATGGATTTTTTGTTCTGTTTTCTGAAGTTCATCAGCCTTGTATTAGGCAGTTCAGACCAAATGAAAATAGCCTTGCAAATTGATGGACCTTCATCATAGTAGCATGCAGGACCTATACAACTATGAGACCAGAAGAACTAGATGGTGCCCGGCTACCACTGTCATCCACTTGGAAGGGATGTAGGAGATCCTGCACAGAGAGGGAGAACAATGTGGAACAAAACTCAAAATCATTTGGAGGCAAAAAAAAAAAAGGTGGGGACCAGGTTTGCTGGTCCAATAGAGCCTGGTGGAACCACTGAGACTATGGCCCCGAGCTGCCCTTCAGGTCTGGAATTGAACCCACACCTGTGGTTTCCAGCCAAACAAAGTACAGGCATGTGAGTTAAACATTTACCTCAAGTAGACACACGCCCTGGAGAGAACAATCATGGGAGAAGGAAGGGCTGCTTATGCACAGGGGGCAGGAGAGTATGGAGGGATGGACACTGGGAAGAGGTAACTACGGGGAGGAAGTGGGAGGGGAGCTGTTGCATTGTGATAAATTTTGGTCAATGACATGAGACAAAGTATATGTGAACTGCTGTATGAAAAGTGAATTTGCTCTGTAAATCTTCACCCAAATCAAAATAAAATTTAAAAAATTAAAAAAAAAAAAATAGCATGCAGGATGGAGGAATGTGCACATCAGAAAAGTGAGTGTCAGGGTCCTCACCAACTGGTGCATTTAGGGCATCAGATTATGGGAACTACTATCATTAACACTAAATAAATTGCTGTTGACATTTCTCAAGTGGCCTTGACACTCAAGGGCTCATGTGCTTGACCTATAACAGGGAAGATTAGCTTTAACTGCATATATCTGCAAACCCAAAGTTACAATGACTTAAACAAAGGAGAAATTAATTTTGCATGTTTGACATCTGAATGAGGCCCTCTGTGGTTCTCAGAAACTCAGACCACCTCTCTGTCTTTCTGTCCCATCATCCTGTTGTGTGACCTTGGTCTTGAACCAGGTGCAGCTATAGCTCCAGGTCTTGTTTTAGGGAGAACGGTGACAGGGCCCATGTCCCAACCGTGCCTGTTCCAAGCCACCTTCCTAGGCATCCCATACAACACCTGCATGTGTTTCAGTGAGCAGAGCTCAGTCCCATGCAAGTCACTTCTTAAAAAGACCAGAAATGCAGTCTTCAAACTAAGCACATTTTGTCCTGAATGAAAGAAGGTGAGAGTCGTCATCAGGAGTCGGCCAGGCTCCTCCTGACCACACGGCTCTGGAAGTCACATGGGCACATTCTGTTTTTCTTCCAATTGCTCTTCAAAGAGTTGTCCCATTGGTGTCAAGAGACATTGAAATAATTGTCATCCCTTTAGAGTGCTAGCAAAAGAGACGACAACCCCCTCACCTCACTATCACTGGGCTCTCAGTGACTAGTCAGTGGACAGGAGAGCTTCCCCCGTTACCACTGAAGATACCTTGGCAGAGCTGTCAAGAGCATCATAAACAGACAAACAAGGAACTGCCATCAGGTCGACTCTGAAAGACCTGGACGCAACTTTGGGCAAAATCCAACATTTGTATACAGAAAACTTGTGACCAGAAGGTTCACACATCATCATATTGTAGCTCAGTTGCTAACTTTCTGTGATCACTTACAGACCAAGTTGATTTGAAGGACTTGAGCTTCTATCATTAAAGTTTTATCTTTAAGATGAGAGAAGACCTAATGATCTGATGGCATCCCTTTACTCTAGGTGATATGTACATAAGTATTTTTAAATTCTCTATATTTTTTTCTCTCAACTGCAAAATTTTTTCCCAAATAGAAAAGGATCAGAGGAGCGTGATTCTGGTTTTATTTTACTCCGTGTTAGAATAAAGCTGTTGGACGTTAGGCACGTAGGCACTGGCACTAGAAATGCATTTTCTATAATGTTCTTTTCAGTGAGTGTTATTCCATCCCGTAAAGTAGAGAATCCTTCTGCAGTGTGATTGATAATGCAGAAGTGGCCCTTAAGAATTCTTAAGACTTAAGAATTGATATGTGGATGTGGCCCATAAGATACAGGAATTCCAACTCACAGTTGTTTTTCTTGCTTGATTGCTTGTTGGAGAAAAATCCAAACGTTTGGTACTGGGAGAGTTTACAGAGATGGGCTGGTTTCTAAGAATTCTCTTACTTTGAATCCATTGAAGAAGTCCATTATTCCCTTGAAAGCCCTTTTAATCTTTTCCTGAACAGTATCTTAATGTTATTTTCTTTGGAAATCAAAAATACCATATTTTCAATGTACGTGGGCACTGTTTACTTGTCATGTCATTGCATTGTCATTGCCAGCTGTCCCTTGTACTGAGCCTGTATCTCCCTCTGAATGACTAGGATTGTGGGGCCTGGACCCATTCAGTGTGGCTTCTGAGGGTCTGGTGTATACAGTGGGAGCTCTGGTGGCATGGTACCTAAGGCATTTGACTGCTAACCAGAAGACTCGTGGTTCAAACCCACCAGCCACTCCTCGAGAGGAAGATTGGGCAATCTACTTCCTTAGTGATACCGCCTCAGAAACCCAAGGAGGGGTCGCTGTGAGTCAGAAACGACTCAGCGGCAGTGAGTTTAGTGTACATAGGAGGACTCCAGTGAGTATCAGTCCAGTGGTGGAATGTAACCACTGGACATAGAGTCCACTGTGCAAAAGAAGGGGGAGAGAAGAGCATCATGCAATAGGCAGTAATAATTGCCTGTCTCTTAATCTCTCTGAATTTAAATACATAAACACAGTGCTAACTATGTGCCCTTTTGGACCAGAGAAGATAATTACTCAAGGATTTTCTTGAGTCACAACCCCTTTTGTGTCACAGCAGAGTGTCAGGGCCAGACCACATGGCCCTTTTTAAAGTTAACTAGTTAGTGAGCATCCACGGAACACTGCTCCAGGCTGTCCTTGTACTTGGTCACCACAGAGGCCAGAGCTAGCATTCTTGAGCCAGATATGAGTCCAACTTCATGGAAGATGAACTTTGAACAGTTCTCGTCTCTTTTCAGGAATAAACCGATCTTGCTTGTCCATGGCGATAAACGAGAAGCTAAGGCTCACTTACATGCTGAGGCAAAGCCTTACGAAAACGTTTCCCTCTGCCAGGTAAGCTACTCATCGCCCTTTGAGGTCGTGCTTAGTCGGAGCATTAAAGGAGGTGGAGACCTTCAGTGCGTCCTCCCACCCAGCAGAGAACAGCTATCAGCAGCACCATAGACACTTGTCTGACCTCCTCTGTGACACCAGTTCCCGAGGTAACCCACCCCTGTGGGTAGCCCTTGTACTTAGACAGATTTTTCTTTACGTGGACCTGAGAGCTCCCTTCTAACTTCCACGCATCAGTCCTGAATTGTCCCTCGGGAGCCACAGAGTACAAATCTCCTTGCACATATCAGTGATTTGTATGTCCACAGGCATCTGTCCCTCCTCCCCTTAGTTTTATCTCCATTTCAAACATTCACTTTCTTCCCTTGTACTTGATGTAACAAAGATTCTAGATCCTTCCCCAACCTGCTAGCACACCTCTGCTTATACCTAGTTTGTCGCTGTGCCTCCCAGAGCCTGGTTTCACATTGAATGGGTCCCCGGATGCAGGTCAGTAGCTGTGAGTGTCCCCGAGGGCAGCTTCCAACTATTAGCTGATTAGAAGACATTAAGTGGACTCGTAACAAGTGTGTCTGATGGGTCTACTGGGACCAAAACAAAACTGAAAAGGCCAAGAAAGAGTCTCTTGTCCAGTTTATTTGTTTATTCCCTTAATTGTGTTCTAGTTCTTTCCAGTCAGAATACATGGAAATACAGTGTCACCAGTGCTTCTTGAACTCTCCATGGCCCGTTGCATTAAACACCATGGCTGACAGGACCTTTGTGTGTGGCGTTGAGAGTAAGAGGCCAGCAGGGTAGGGAGAAAAGGAAGGAGTTGAGAGTGTTCACATTTACGATTCCCCTCCTGTGGAGATGATGCTGTGAAGTAGCTCACGTCATGTTCGCCTCTTCCTGTTTTCATTGACCAAGTAAGGCCAGCCCATTCCTGAGAAGCCCTGATGAAAAGGACTTTTACAGTCCTCTTCTCGCCTCTTCTCTCCTGGCCATTTAAAAAACCAAAGCAGCACCATTAGCGTTTGCACAGGAAGAAAGGTAGGGAGGCCAGAATGCATAGGCAAGAAGGACACAGGGAAAGGAGACCACAGGGAGGAGGGAGGAGGTGAGATGTTACACTGTGAGGAATGTAACCAGTGCCCTAAAACAAAATGTGTATGAGCTGTTGAAAGGAATCTGCTTTGTAAGGTCTCACTCGAGTTGCAATAAAAAGTTTAAAAAAAAACCCACTGCCATCAAGTTGGTTCCAACTCCTAGCGACCCTGTGGGACAGAGTGGAACTGCCTAGGGTTTCCAAGGCCGTAAATCTCTACGGAAGCAGTAGAGTGACTGGTGGGTTAAATCCAAAAGCTTTAAAACCACTCCACCACCAGAGCTCCGTTCCTTGCCATTGGCCCAGTGGAAATTAGATTTCTGCTCTTGAGTACAGAGACAAGAGTAACTTACAGAGAACTTGGTTTCTTTCCCCTTTTCCTTCTCATGCCTTTTCCCCATCCATGTGAGAGAGAATTCCAGTTCAACATCTTGTCACTTTTCTTGCAACCATGAATGTTATCTCTGTGAGAGAGAGAGAGAGAGAGAGAGAGAGTGTGTGTGTGTGTGTGTGTGTGTGTGAATATTAAGCAGTGAAAGAGCTTGATCTGATTAGCTTTAACTGTACCCCACAACATTTCTTCTGGAATTTAACCCACTGTACTTTGTATAGTTGGGGAAAACTTTACAACATTCCTTTCTTCACACAACTTGTTGTGACTCTTCTTGCACCTCTATATGCCTTTGCTGAGCAGTTGCTTAAAATGTCTTCCCAGCGCCTCTGTTTCCTGGGAACAGAAGGTTACACTGCAGTGGGATAGGTCCCATCAGACTAAAGTGGACAGAGAGAATGCTGATACAGGAAGTCTAAAAAGCACTGATTGCTTCTGTTGTTAGATGCTGCCACGTCAGTTCCAGTTCACCGCAGGCCCATGCACCACAGAATGAAACACTGCCCAGTCCTGCACCCTCCTCAGAACTGTTGCCGTGTTAAGCCCATTGTTGCAGCCACTGTATCAGACCATCTTATTGAAGGTCTTCCCCTTTT